GTCCAGGACCTCCCTCTTGAGAGGACAAAGAGTGCTGCTGACAGAAACCCACCAGGTCCTTGCTAGACTGTGCTCCACAGCCATCGGCAGAGTATGGTGGTTTCAAGCTCTTGTGGACCCAGGAGACAGCCAGGTGAGCAAACTGGGGACCGTATCTGCGTGACCTTCCCACTTGGGATCAAGATTTCCAGCAAAAAGTGTAGGCAAGGATCCTGCGGTGGGCAATGGATAAAGGCAGTCTGAGCAGACATCACACAGGTCACTCCATGGACACTCCAGTGGCCACCATTCCCTTTCACAAGATCTGAGGGGACAGTTGCAGACAAAACACAGCAGCTGGAAATCCCAGAATGCCGTGTGTCCTCATATGCATACGGAACAGAGGATGATTCAGTATAACCCAGGTCCCTGGTGCTCCAAGGGTCTGGGTGGTTACACCTAGCAATAGCCCTAAGCCCATGCCCTGCTTAAAGCCAGGACATCTTTGGAAGAAGCAGGGAGATGACTCATTCAAACCCAGATGCTGGAGGACTGGCCTTTAGTCACACAGGATAGTAAGCACAGCATTACAGAGCACAGAGCCAGGGGCTGCTCCCAGAGCAGCAGGGGGCAGAGTCAGAAGCCAGTTCGTCTTCCCTGCTTGGGCACGTCCCTAAGGCTGATGACCCCTTCTTTTGGGCACTGCTGCAGAGCAGATCTGAGCTGCCTTGTACCTAGGCAGCTGGCATATGGCTCGCAATGCCCAGGGATTAGATAAGCTGAGGCCCTCTAAGGGGGGAATCCACGCTGTCTACAGGCTAGATCAACCTGCTTCACTCCTAGGCTCCCCCTAATGTCATCAACACTCCACCATCACCCATGCTGCTGTCACTACCCGAGCCGAATGCCACTGGGCTGTGCAGACCCCACATCTCACATGATCAGGCCTCAGGGACGTCGTTCCAGTGCCCGTTCCTACTCCTTGGTCCCGGGCCAGGGGCGCATGATCAGAGCCAGCAGAGACCAGCCTAGCTGGGATCCTTCCTTAGCACCCTCCCGCTCACTTAAGTTAGGAATGTTTGCTATCTGGGGAGCTTCCAGACTATTCCTGGCTGGAGCACCAACTTAAGGACAGCAGCCCTTCCAGGGACCCTACTGCCTGACCGGCCTGCAATCTGCAAAAGGGAGGTGAGGGGGCAGGAGTGTCCACAGCTTCCTGTTTTCTTTCCAGCTGGGAAGGAGAGCAGCAGACAGCCACCTCTGGATTGTCCGCGTCCCTTCATAGGCCTTCGACCAATCTGCTGAGATGCCTGGGATGGTATTCAACTCTACTGGGTGCCACCAGGCCCTGCATACAGCAGCCCCCCTATAGATCCAGCTGACTAGAGTCCAGCGGGCGGCCAACCTTGAGGCTGCGGAGGCCACTGCCCCCATGTCTCTGTAACGGAAACTTCTCAAGTGCTCTGTGAGCAACAGCTCCAGTTCCTGCCTCATGTGGGGCTCTGCAGATCGCAGGACAAGGCAGGTGAGCAGCCAGACGCAAGACAGGTACAATGCCATGGGAGCCCAGGTGGGCAGACCTTGATGTGTGTTTGAGAGTGTGTGTGTGGCATGTGTGGGGGTGGTGGGTGGGGGAGGTGTCAGGGCAGAGGGATCAGCAGTGCACATGGCTCCTATGTCTGTGTGCATGTTCATGCAAGGAAAGCCCCTCAGAGGTTCTGGCCTCCCAGCATGCTAAGCTACCTCCAGTCCCTGCAGAGAGGTGATTTTGCAGCAAGACAGCAAGGAAATCAAGCACTGCTCAGATGTGGGGACCACCTCTTCCTTCAAGTCCCCAACATGGCAAAAGTGTGAGGGTGGGCAGGGGGCAGTCATGGCTGCCAAGCTCAGTGTCAGACACCAGTCAGATGTGGGGAAGGACTTCCCTGTGTGGGGATGGCAGGCTGGGAGGGTGCCAGCTGTTGTACTGGGCACACTGCCCACCCTAGAGACTCTCCAAAACACACCACAGACCGTGTAGGTTGTGAAAGGGATGACAGGCACAAAGGTATAGATAGCCAGGTTGGTGATGGGGCAGTGCTGACTCCCCAAAACTTCAAGATAAGGTGAGGGAGGAAGGGTCTTTGGACAGGCCCTGGAAGACAGTCTAGGTTTGGGGTCCAGTAAGGAAGCGGAGCTCCAGAGCCCCCAGTTCAGAACCCCAGGGCTGAATTTGGGTCAGAGCCCTTCTCTCTGTGACTATCTTGTGCTAGCTGTCTGCAAACACCATGTTCACCTGCCTGGATCACGGGGGCAACGTCCACGCTTGGCTCTGCAGACTGGGTGGCATTCTTTACCTGGGTCAGGATTGCCCACTATTTGGAGCACAGTGCTCCCTTCCCTGTCCCCGGACTAGTGGAACCAAGCCTTGATTCTAAGGGGACAGCTCCTGAGTGAGGGACAGAGCCCAGATACAGCACTCCCCGACCAGCATGGTTCAGCCGTGGCGCCCCACAGGCCCCAGGCACTGGCACTACTTTCCACCCTTTATCACCCATCTGTCACGAGTCAGACTCTGAGCAAATGCACTCAAGTTACGAGCTACCGCCTGTCCCTGCTGGGGCCAGCGCCTCTGCTCTGGGGCGAGCAGGAGGAGATAGCAGCAGACTTGCTGTATCCACTACATCAGCTATGTGAACCAGAGATGCCTGCCTCGGAACTTTTTGATGGGAATGTAAAAGCCAGAGAGCTCTCTACTTGACTGAGACCACAGAAATAAGGATGCAACCCAGATACACACACACACACACACACACACACACATTCACTTACATACAACCCTCTAACACACATGCCACACACCACACTGAAATACACATTCACACATACAACACACACTCACACACCCCACATACAACCTCACATACAACACACACACATGTATACATATGTGGTTTGGGTACATTCATATATGTGCAAACATGCTTATGTGTACACAGATCACATGCATATGCACATTCTCACATGCTAGCACACACAAGCCACATAGTTATATTTACATGCACGCATAGGTTCTCCATAGGTCAATATTCACATGCTCACACAAATGTGTCCACTTACATGTTAAACACTCCCATGTATGCATACATTACATAGACATGCACACCCACAAACATATATGTTATGTGTGTATAAACACACACATGGGTCTAGAGAGATGGCTCAGTAGTTAAGAGCATTTGTTGCTCTTGCAGAGGGTGGGGATTTTGTTCCCAGCACCCACATGCTAGCTCATCACCGTCTGCAGGATGTGATGCCCTCTTCCGATTTCTTTCCGATATCACACACATGATACCCATACATACATGCAAGTAAAACACACACACATACATAAAATAAAGTAATTAAGTAAGCATTTAAAAATACTCCCGCATATTGTCTCACAATCCCACAGCACACCCTGGCCACAGAGGGCCAAAAAGTGGGTGCTGGAGTAAGGTAACAGAATGGGAGGTGGCACCTTCCCTGAAAGTGAGCCTGGAGCGGAAGCCACTCCCCTCCCCGCCCTCCTCCCTCCTTTCCCTGCTTCCCTCCTTATCCGTTGCTTGTGGCCAGCCCCTTCCCCACCCTATTGCAGTAAAATCTGATGCTGTGATAAAAGAACGTGCTCCCTTCTGAAGTGCAAACACGTCCAGGCAGACCGGTACAGGGCTTCAGCCACCTGCCATACTTATTCCTGCTGAGCATAAAGACCCAGCCCTTCCGTTATCTCCTGTGGAAGACTGTATGGAGGCCCCAGGTCACCCTTCAAAGCAACCATTCCTGGAGAGACCTTGAGGGGGTCCTCCTTGGAGTCAGAGTGAGCTCCTCACTCTTGCTTACTCTCAGTCCTCAAGGGCATGGGCCCTGAAATCTGTGGAAGCCAGAGCCACACCTCATGAAACAGGCATTTGGCCCCATTTCAAGGCATTTCTAAGGTCAGAGAGCCGGGAGAAGCTGGGTGGGATGAAGGAAGAAAGTTGCCTCACACCGTACCTAAGAGAGGAGAACCACCTTGCCAGTGGCCCAGGGACACCTCCTTTCTCTCTGACCTCAGCATCTCTACCTACCAAGAAGGAGGATGGTGGTCTCTTACTCCCCAGCACCTCCCATGGCCTCAGCCCAGGCTCAAAAGCAGAGTCTGAACCCAGAACAGGACCAGAGGAGGAAGAGTTGGAAGGCATGGCTGAAGCTGTGGAAAATAATCACACCTGTGGGCTGTTGTGTGTGTGTGTGGTGGGGTGACAAAGGGCACTGCTCCACAGACCACTACACACAAATGTGTGATGTGGCATAAGAAAGATGGACTCAGAGAAAGAGCGGCAGACAGAGACTGGCCGGAGTCAGGCTGAGAATTATGCACGTACACAGAGACAGTCAAAGGCAGACGGGGCAGAGATATGGAGGGAAAGACAAAGAGGACAGAGACAAGCGGGCTGGGCTGTATTGTGCCTCATCTCTCCCAACACAAAGGCCAACTGGAGAGGCAATGCACCATCCAGAAAAGTCTTTCCTTGGTGGGGCACCCTGACAATGGGAAGCCCCTGTTATCCGCTGCTCTGTGTCTCCTCTGCTGTGGGGCTTAGCATATTGACAGAAGTATTGAATGCACTTATCAGGGATCTCAGAGCACTACAGACTCCCACAATAAACTGGGGTCTTCCTGAGCAGCCCATGACGGTGGGTGGGTGGACAACTGTAAATCTCAGGACACTGGCACCCAAAGGAATATTACACGGTCATCAAAGGTGGTCATTATGAAGACTGTGCCCACAAAGGAAACTGCTGACGGTGCAGCTTTGCCTCTGGCAAGGCACAGGATTTATCTGCACTGTGAGCCCTACAGAGGGAAGCCGGTGTCTACGGGTCTGTGAGAATGGTGGGGGCTCAGGAAACCAGCCTGGTTTTCAAGGAGAAATTTTCTCATCCTTTTATCTTTATCTCTATAGGCGCGGCTTGTGCAGTAAATAACGTCTTCTTATCGTAGGACCATGTTCCAGTAAATGAGGTCTACAGCTCGAGTCCTGTGCCCCGACTCCCACCCGCAGACACGCCAGCCAGCCAGAGAGGATGAGGGGGCCACGTGGGGCTCACAACCTCCCCGGACTGAGAGGGTAAAGCCATACAGCCTGAAACACTAGCTCTGGAGATACAGGCTGCTTCTGTGAGCAAGGGGAGGGGCAGGGGCCAGAAAGGCAGGCAGGAACCCTGGCCTTGCTCTCAAGGTATCTTCTGCCCCTGGAACTCCGGAAATCATGTGACTGGGAGCTGTGTGCGAGACAGGGAAACGGCCCCATTTTGAAGGACTTGGTTTGGTCAAAGCACCAGGCATGGCATGCATAGCACAGCCAGAGATACACAGAGGATCACACAAGTCAAGGGAGAGGCTCTGTTCCGCACAAGGCCAGGGGTCACAGCTTGGGATCAGCATGCAAGGACAGTGAGGTGTGACATATGACAATCAGACTGAAGAAGATGGAGGGACAGGCAAAGATGGTGGGTGGAGATGGAGGGAAGAGTCATGGCTCGCTACAGAGCTGGTTGGTGAACACACAGCTGGCGAGGCTGTTGACAGCTCCACCCAGGAGGAAGGAAGAGAGGGAAGAGACTCAAGGAGCAGGAGAGGGGCTCCAAGTGGGAGAAGCCCAGACCTGGATGCTTGCTGCCAGGTCAAGGAAGAGGCAGTGATATGCACAGGCAGCTGTGGGTGGAGCAGGGAAGCCCCCCCAGGGCTTCTCATCCACTTGGGCATAGTCAAGTACCCTGCCAGGGTCAACTTAGAAATAGCCCTGGCTTCCCTGTGCTCTGTCCCACAAGCAGCCTGCTGCCCTCAGTCATAGTTGAAGACACTGAGGCTCACAGGAGCTGATGCCCAGGATGACGTGAGCAGGGCAGGAAGGTAGCCCCCAACAATGGATACCCTGAAGTTCAGCCTAGGTGAAGGGAGGGAGAGATTCACATAGGACAGACCCTAGCCTGCCAACTGGCTATAGCCATGATCAGCTCTGTTCACTACCTCAGCTGGGGCCCCACTCGGGAGAGCGTATGGACTCTGCCCTCAAAAGCGAGGACCATCCCCATGTCTCAGGTTCCCCCTCACAAACCCTACTGGGGTCTGAACAATAGCCTGACATCCATGCCAATGTATAGGAGTTAAGGGGAGCGGACTGGTACACTTCCTCTCAGAGAAGAGGGCCCAACAACATCCGAGGCTGCAAGACCAGAGTTTTCTAGAAAGCCCTGTCCAAGGGGTTGTGTCAGAACTCCAGGGATTGTGTCAGAAACCCTGTGTGTCTCAAGCCAAGCACATGGTTCAGGGAAGTTGTTAGGCTCTGTAGTTGACCCCTGCCATTCATGTCCCCTGGTCACTGGGCTCGCAGTGCCTGAACCTTGCCACCTATGGCAACCTTTCCAGGGAACAGTGGGATTCTGTACAGGCCATCTCCAGTTGATGGGGCTATCCTTGGTCTACTGCTGTCATTCCTCCAGGTGTGGAGAGCTTCCCTCTGAACCCCCAAGATTGACAGGAGACACCGCCTAGGACAAAGCCTAGGCCTTCTAGCCACTGAGCACACTCACGCATGACTGTTCAGGCTTTATTCCAGCAGTGTAGGAGTTGGGGAAGGTGGGCTAGTTCTAAAGACTCCATGCCCTTCTCTGGTCCCCCTGCAGTAGGTCCGCTTCATGTAGCCCAGGGGAGCCAGCAAACACCACAGCCCCAGATGCCAGGCTTGAACAGAGAGGGCTCAACAGCCATTTGTTCTCCATCCCCACCCTAGGGCGGTGACAGGAAGCGTCCCCCCTCTATCCTGAGACCCAGACGGCAGGAATGTGGGTGCCATGGGGCTGAGCCACAAAGAACTTCAAGGCATGTGCGGTTCCGAGAACCCCTGGAGGTGGCCGTCCACTGTAAGAGGGGCCGGGGGCTTTGATGTGTGGGTCTGGGGTGGGGTGGGCAGGTGCCCTTGCAATTCTGGCATGGTCTGGGACCATCAAGAAAAGCCAGTCCTTACTCTGCCTCCGAGACAGAGCCCCAATAAGTCTGTAAAATGAGATCATAAAGACCGGCCATGCTCAGCGGGACAGCAGCCAAGAGGACAGAATGTGGTTGTGAGCATCACCACCTCCCTCTACGGAGGGTTAGGTTCTGGGTAGCCCATCTCACAGGCCAGGCCAGTGAGAGTTGTCTTGGTACCTTTGTGTGGTGGGGTGGGAGAGCTTGACTTTCCTAACTAAATCTATGGTCTCCTTCCCAGACATTGCCCGCAGGGACAGGACAGCCTCCATCAAGGGTGAGTTCTGAGAAGGAGCCCCCATCTGCCAGCAGGTCCTGGGCCTCACCTCTGCAGGGCAGAACCAGACAGATACAGCCTTAACTACACCCCTATCCCCATATCCCTAGTCACTCTGGACCCTGACTCAGTCTCCCCTGATCGCCCTAGAAGTGACCCCATCCCTGCAGGGCCACTCCCCAGATCCCGGACATGTCAATGAGCACTAGCACCCCTAAATAGGTGCAATCTTCCCTAGGCAGGTGAGGACAAGAGTCCATGTACGAAACTCACCCCAGGACCCTACCTGTCCATCATCCTGATGGCCAGCCACAGGTCAACAGCAAATCAACATAATTCTCCCTCCACACCAGCCCCACCAGCAGAGAGAGAGAGCACCTCCCAGGGCCTCACTGGGGAGCCCCAGGACTGACCTGCTCTCCCCCTACAGTGCCCAGCCGGTCAGCTTCCCATGGTGGCTCTCCACTCCCGTCAGCACCCTGCAGAGGCTCCCCCTTCCTGTGGCTGACTCTGTGTGTTCTGCTGGGAGTGGCGCTGGGCCTGTACTGTGGCCAGGTCAAACATGTCACAGTGACCCTGCAGGACCTCTGGGATTGGCTTCTCGTCCGCATCTTGCGCCTGTGGCATGTCGTTCTTACCTGTTGGCACTGCCTCCTGAAGCTCTGACACATGGCTGAATGGCAGTTTCACCTCTGAACATCGCTGAAGGGTGATGCTGGTGGGGCCTAGGGTGGTTTGGGGACTGGCACGTGGTGAAGCCCAGGCACTAAGACTAACAAGACGGCTAGCCGAAGCTTGACAAACCCAGGAGCTCCAAGAGGCCACTGTTGTGGATAAAGTGGGAGAAAGGGTGCCTCTGGCTTGATGCTACAAGTACCCCCTACTCTATTCAGCACAGGCTGGGATCTTGGTATTTAAGATTGTATTAGAGAAAGAACTCAGCCATTATGGCTGGGGATCCCCAAGCTCCTGCCCAGTCCTCCCTCTTGGGATCCCTGACCTGGATGCTGTCAGAGATGACAGGCAACCCTTTCAGGATGTCACCTGCCTCTAAGGGGCAGTATGGGAAGGCAAGGCCCGAACTCCTTCTGCTTTGAGTGCTGGGCCCTGTTTTTGTCTTACCATCAGGAGATGGGCTCAGGGGCCTTCCTCTGCAGTTCACGGAGCCCTGTGGGTATCAGGGTATTATCCTCGGAGCCCAGGTCTGATTCCTCCATTTGACACTAAGATCTTTAGAGGTCCCTGTGGTGTGGGAACAGAGTCCAGCTCTGAACCAAGCTGCTCTTTTCTTCTGAGAGGTCCCTCTTCCAGGGCTACAGACAAACCCAAGGCCATCATGCCTGTCTACCAGCCGAAGGTCCTTTAAGTCTCCTGTACCTACACAGACACAGTTCTGTCATGCATGTTGCAAGGACAAGGGAAACAAGCACATAGTAATGAACTTCAGGACCCTTGGACCTGCCTGGAAGGGATCCCTGAACACCGTGAGGAGGCTCAGTCAGACACCAGGAGGATACACCAGGAGAATCCACCAGGAGGACTCGGCACCACCCTGGAACAAACATTTGATCAGGGTTTGGGAGCCAGGGTAAGGCTTGTGACTATCCTCTTAAGGTGGCCCTCTACTTATGTGAGCAGACATATTTCATAATAACACCTGCATCCTCTTCAACCTCAGGGTTATTATAGAAATTAGGAATACAAGACAGTTGTTGTGTAATTCCTCCAGGGTCAAGCATGCTCATCTAGGCACCGGAGCATACCCTCCACCCACCCACCCACCCCCACAACTCACAGGTCCTTTGCAGCTGTTATTTGTGAGAATTTGGGGGACCCCTCCATGCCTCTAGGACCACATTCTCCTCCAGCAAAACATGCCCAGATTCTTAGCTCACTGAGGGGCCGTCTGCCCCTCTCTGGACTTCAGGTACTACATACAGTGGTCTCTAGCTATAAAGTTTGGGGGCACAGTCAGGGAGGGCCCAGTGGAGAGAAACTCTGCTTCCAGGAGTGGTCTAGAGAGGCCCAGCTTGGGAAATCACTCACCATGATCAGCCATCACCATGGCTTCTGTTGCCTGCACCAGCCCAGATGCCCCAGGACCCATTCCATCTCATCCCACTCTGGTAAGAGACAGGCTCATGACTGGCCTGTATTCCAGATGTGGAAAGACACTAAGAAATGAGACAGATGACCTCAAGGTCACCCCTCCGTCCTGCTTCTGAGAGTGAATGCCCTCTAGGAGGAGGATTGGCCAACCATGTTTTATAACAGTCAGGGCTTCCTGCCTCAGAGCCAGCATTTGCTGCAAAGGCCACAGAAAAAGTGTGCCCAGCTCTGTATGGGCCACAAAACTCTACCCTAGCTAGTTTTGGTTTCCGTTTAGCTTTGTTTCCTTTTTACAGTGCAAACCCAGCACGGCTAGGCAAACAGTCTGCCACTGGGCTGCATCCTCAGCCTTAATTTGTTTTAGAATAAATGTTCAAAGACATACACAGAAATGCATGTGCCTAAAAGATGCCACCAAACCCCATCTTCACATCTGGAAGATGGTGTAGGAATGGATACATACATCTGGAGGATGGTGTAGAAATGGGGTACATCCTCATGTCTGGAGGATGGTGTAGGAATCAGGTACATCCTCACATCTGGAAGATGGTGTAGGAATGGGGTACATCCTCACATCTGGAGGATGGTGTAGGAATGGGGTGGGGATCAACAAGAGTCAACCTCCTTAAACACACAGGCCTGAAGGGCTGCCCGTGAGCACCTGGAACGTAACAGGACAAGACTGCCTAAATCATAAACAAACAGCTAAAGCCTGAGAGTTGGGATGGGAGGTGGGGTCTGAAGTGGACTGAATGCCTGACAAAGACACGAAAACCTCATTCACAAGGCATCTCAGATATTTCATCTTTATTTTGATCTTTTGACTTGAGAACCAGACACACGGAGGCTTAGGACTCTTCACTATCAGTTTCACCAGGAAGAAAGGAACAAGGGCTGCTCTAAAACAAGCCAAGAGGAGCAGAAGCATCCTGGGAACACCCTGCACCTCCCCCTGCCTCTTGCCATCCATCCATCCAGAGAGGGCCGAGAGGAACAGAAGCATCCTGGGAATAACCTGGGGACCACTCTGCACCTCCGACTGCCTCTTGCCATACATCCAGAGAGTCCTGTCCTGGACAGACACCCCTGCCCGTGGCTACAGCCAACAGGTCCTGCCAGCGCCCCTAGGCCAGAGGCCCTTTTCCCCAAGAGTCCTGGGACATTGATACCTGGGGGGAAAAGTCTAGGCAACTGTAGATGAATGAAGGTCTTTCTAGACTTGTCCAGGTTCCAGACCAACTCCCATCATCCCCAAGAGGCAGCTGCTAAGAGCAGGCCTACACCTGAATCAGATCCTAGGTGCTATGGGCCCCAGCCTGCCTCCTGCTCCTTCAGGTCCTAAGTAGCTTTAGCCTTAGTAGGGATATGGGGCAGAAGATGAGAAAGGTGCCATTCCCAGGGAGACAAAAGAGGGGTCTCAGAGCTAGACAATGTTCCCATGTGCCACAAATATAGTCTGGTGTGAGGGTCTGGAGGAGAGACCAAGTCCGTGTGGAGACCTCAAAACATTTCTCCAGTACCCACCCACTCCCCCGCCACCACTGGAAGCTCAGCCAGGCCACAAGCCAAAGCCCCCAGAGCAGGCCGGAGTGTTATTCTGCCTGGCCCTGACCTCCCCAGATAGGTACCTCCCTTGCACAGCATCCTAATCATCCCTGATAGCTTCAATTCTTAGGGTCCAAGTGATTCCCCAGTGAGCCAGGGACCACACCTTTGTGAAGCCAGCCCCTTCCACCTGGAAACACCAACCACTGATGGTGGACAGTGAGCTGAACCGGCTAGGATCACACCAACCACTGATGGTGGACAGTGAGCTGATACAGCTAGAATCACACCAACCACTGATGGTGGACGCTGACATGGCTAGGATCACACCAACCACTGATGGTGGACAGGGAGCTGACACAGCTAGGATCACACCAACCACTGATGGTGGACGCTGACATGGCTAGGATCACACCAACCACTGATGGTGGATGCTGACATGGCTAGGATCACACCAACCACTGATGGTGGACCCTGAGCTGACACAGCTAGAATCACACCAACCACTGATGGTGGATGCTGACACAGCTAGGATCACACCAACCACTGATGGTGGACAGGTAGCTGACACAGCTAGGATCACACCAACCACTGATGGTAGATGCTGACATGGCTAGGATCACACCAACCACTGATAGTAGATGCTGACATGGCTAGGATCACACCAATGACTGATGGTGGATGCTGCATGGCTAGGATCACACCAACCACTAATGGTGTACACTGAGCTGACAGAGCTGAGGATCACACGAACCACTGATGGTGGACAGGGAGCTGACACAGCTAGAATCACACCAACCACTGATGGTGGACGCTGAGCTGACACAGCTAGAATCACACCAACCACTGATGGTGGACGCTGACATGGCTAGGATCACACCAACCACTGATGGTGGACGCTGACATGGCTAGAATCACACCAACCACTGATGGTGGACGCTGACATGGCTAGGATCACACCAATGACTGATGGTGGACAGGGAGCTGACACGGCTAGGATCACACCAACCACTGATGGTGGACGCTGACATGGCTAGGATCACACCAACCACTGATGGTGGATGCTGACACGGCTAGGATCACACCAACCACTGATGGTGGACGCTGACATGGCTAGGATCACACCAATGACTGATGGTGGATGCTGACATGGCTAGGATCACACCAATGACTGATGGTGGATGCTGACATGGCTAGGATCACACCAATGACTGATGGTGGACGCTGACATGGCTAGGATCACACCAACCACTGATGGTGGATGCTGACACGGCTAGGATCACACCAACCACTGATGGTGGATGCTGACACGGCTAGGATCACACCAACCACTGATGGTGGACGCTGACATGGCTAGGATCACACCAATGACTGATGGTGGACGCTGACATGGCTAGGATCACACCAATGACTGATGGTGGACGCTGACATGGCTAGGATCACACCAATGACTGATGGTGGACGCTGACATGGCTAGGATCACACCAATGACTGATGGTGGACGCTGACATGGCTAGGATCACACCAACCACTGATGGTGGACGCTGACATGGCTAGGATCACACCAACCACTGATGGTGGACAGGGAGCTGACACAGCTGAGGATCACCTTGCCTGGAAATGGAGGAACAGCTCTGAGCACAACTTCAGACTAGGGTCATGAACAATGAATGCACTCCCGAAATCCAGATGGTGGGGCCTCTTCTGCTATGGAGGCCCCGCCCCTGGAACACAGAGGATCATGCCACTTAGAAAACCTCAAGAGTGGAGGGTGGGACTCTCCTACCACAGCCAAGCAGCCCCAGATATTCTCACAGAACAGAGGACAGAGCCCAGCCCAGACCCCCACATTCTTATCAGGATCCTCCATCAGCTGCTATGGGGGACAGGGAACGGTGCCTTTTGGGGACCTTCGCTGAAGATGCTATAGAATGGAAAGACGGCCCCCTCTGGGAAGGGCAGGGACTTGGGTGTGCTGGAGCCTGTGGTGGTGCAAGGAGGCTGCTAACCCATCGCCATCAGCTCTGTGCTGCAGTCAGACTTCCATCTACACACATGTTCACATACATGCACATATATGGGCCAATGGTCACACAGAGGCAGCTTAGGGATCACACTAACCAAGGCCAGGACAAGAAGCAGAAGGCATCCTAACCCCAAGTCTCTGGGTCTCTGTGCCATCACTGTCAGGCTCTCCATGGGAACACAAGTGCTCTGCTCACAGTGGGCGGGGCCAAGAGACACATGCAGAGCTGCACTGGCTAACCTGGGTGGGGCCCCAGCCACCCCTCAGTGCAGGCCTCAGGAAAGGGGGCCACCCTTGCACAGCCTAGATGACAGCACTCTTCTCCCCCTGGAAGGAGGTACGAGAGGCCGGCCTGGCCAGCAGCAGCTCCTTCTCATGAACCAGGCTGTCCAGCAGATCTTCCTGGCGGTAGTTGTGGTAAACCTTCAGGAACGCCAGGGTGGTGATCGCCAGCCAAGCCAACCACGAGGCCCACAGACCAAACTGCACGGAAGACAGAGCAGCGTCAGTGGGGGTGGGGGGCTCGTTGTGCTCTATACCCACCTCCCGGCTCTAGCTCTGCAGGCAAGGGAGGCCACACTAAGGCCAGAAGCGGGTCAACACCTGAGAGCCCATGTAAATACACCCATATTTGGCTTATTTTCTACAGTGACGGCTATGTCCAATACCTACAAGGACCCTGGTTTGCACTGAGGCTGGGGTACTCTGTCATTCTTACCTGCACTGATGAGGATGAGGAGGAGCAGGACCTGGGTAATGCTTTCTTCCCACCCCGACCCACTGGCTCTGCGGAGTGCCTATAGATCAGAGAGCCCCTCTAGTCAGGGGAATAAATTGACCTTTATCTGTTGTTTCCAAACAGCGGAAGGAGAAACAATTAAATCAGCTCCAGGTCTGCACCGCATCAAAGTGATTCTCATTTGAGCGTGTTTGTCCTCAGACTGTGGATGCCTCTGTCTAATTGGTCCAAATCAGTTCTAAAACATCGTCAGCTAAAGTTATGGGAAGGTCTCGTGGACTGTTTCAGCTCATCTCAGCAAGGAACTTTAAGGACTTCTAAGGGCTTTTGGCAGAGACAAAAATCATCTCAGTCCAGCCTTTGACACTCTGGAGCTTCCAGGAGCCAGACTGGGGCATGGAAGGAAGCCGCAGAGGGTGACAGCCTCATGCATGTGGGAAGGGACAGGTGTCCATGTTCAGCCTCAGCTAGGTGCCCCAAGACTGCACCACCTGTCTGGGGCACAAATGCAGACATCAAGGGACATGAAAATCCTAAAGCTTTCCCCAGGGCCCTCAACTCCTGATGAGTCCCTGTAGTTTAGAAGTCACATGAAAGGCAGGGTGAGATGGGGCCAGCATCTTCCTAGGGTTTGCCCCTCATTTCACCCTCAGACACAGCACCAGGTGGCTCAGGGACCTTCCAGCATTCTCTGAATACTCGGAACCACACCAGAATCCAAACCCTATCCTGCTGGCAACCCCAGAGTCTATGCCCCATTCTTGCACCTCCTCCCCAACCCCTGTGCCCCCCTCTTCCCTCCCACCCACTCAGCACTTTCCATCCCCTGGTACCTGACCTTGCTCTGTACGTCTACCCATGCCTCCTCTTGCTCACCCCACACACAAGCCCAGCTCAGAGACCCGGCTCTCCTAGCCCCTTAGAGAGGGGTTCTCCTGCTACTCCCACAACCTGTACCTCCCCTGATGGCCCCACCAGATCCGAGTCTGTTTCCCTAGAATCAGGAATCTGTATGTTGTGGTCCCTGCTCCCATCCCCAACATAACCACTTCTCTTCCAGCCTAACACCCCACCTACCTGGGCGATAACAAACTGGTCGTAGAAGGCAGAGTTGTCCACGTTCAGCTCCAAGTCCACATCCTGGAACTTCTTACAGCTAAAATAGCATGATGGCAAGTTGTTAGTAACGTGAGTCTCTGAGCCAAAAGGCAGCAAGCAACTAGTTGGGGAGCAGAGAACACTCCCCACGAAAAGTGAGGGGAGTTTTGTTGTCTAAGAGAAGGGAACCCCAACTGTGAAAATGCTTCCGTGCAATCAGACATTTCCTTAATTAGTGATTGATGGGCCTAGCCCAGGGTGGGTGGTGCCATCCCTGGGCTGTTGGTCCTGGGTTCTATAAGAAAGCAGGCTGAGCAAGCCATGAGGATCAAGCCAGTAAGCAGCATCCTCCATGGCCTCTACATCAGCTCCTGCCTCCAGGTCCCTGCCCTGTTTGAGTTCCTGACTTGCCTTTCTTTGATGATGGACTGTCATGTGGAAACATAAGCCGAAGAAACCCTGTCCACCCCAGGTTGCTTTGGCCATGGTGTTTTATCACAGCAATAATAGTAACCCTAAGACAGAGGGAGCCGTCCCCAAAGAGGACTAAAGACAGATGCCTCTAGGAACTCCACTGCGAGTCAGCTTTGACCCCTCATTGGGTGGGAGTTGCAAATCTTTCCAGCTGGCCCTGAACACAAGGCCCAGCCTCAGCCATCTTATCTGTCTGGTACTCAGGGGTCACAGGCTGCTCAGCCTAGTCCCTCAGTTTCCCATTCTGAGATGGAAGTGATGTCCCCAAATTGTCCAGCGGCACCTTGAGGGCAGCCTCTACTCACTAACCACAGACTGCCACTGCCGCACACTGGTGACAGGAGCTGAAACCAGCAAGTGAGGTAGGCCATGCCAGCTACGAAGCCCTGCATGATGCCTCTTGACCCACAAGGACCTTCCATGTGTGATGCTGTGGGCAACTAGGCCAGAGAAAGAGGTGCTTGATGTTGGTGGGCAGGTCGTCGGGGGCACAGGTGGGCAAAGCCTCAGTCTCGGAATGGGATTCAGGAAAAAAAGCATCTTGGGATCCAGGTAAGGGGTGAGTCTTCTAGGGAAGTGGCAGATAAAGCAGGGCCCAGGCATACCTGTGGGGCACAGTGCCCTTCTCCGTGATGGTGTCACACCACATGGTGAAGCCCACACTGACGATGGTGCTGGCAATGAAGACCAGGAAGACCACAAAGGCACTGAACAGGAGGTTCAGGAAGGCATAGAAGAAGGTGCTACAATGGAGTCAAGAGAGGGTGCTAAGGGAGCCATCCAGGGTGCCACCCTGAGTTGCTCCCCTTGACACAGGGAGGGGCCACATTCCCACGTTTCCTGGTGAGCACCTGGGGTCCTGATGGGACTGAATGGGATCCAAGGGCCTGCTTCCCTCTCCTCCACCGCCATCCCAGCAAATGTCCAGTGCTGAGCATCCTGTCTTGTTCTCTCATGGACCCAGAGTTGGGGCCTTGCCACCACTGCTGTATTGGGAAACCAGGGCCAAACCAAGAACCCCAGATACTGGGTCCCAAAGCCTGGGTGTCAGCACAGACACTGAAAACACAAGATCCCCTTCTAAGGCCACCCACTCACATAGTCACTCACAGCTATGGCTCTGAGTCCCCTCAAATACACAGGCTGAAACCCAAAGCCCAAGGTGTGAGCACCAGGCCCGCTCTAATCCTTGAGCAGAGACAGTATAAGATGAGAAGACCCTCCTCCCTTCCCCTCTGCTGCCTGAGGGCCAGGGGCAGCCTGACTCCAAGTCACATGTTTATGTGGGAGGTATCACCCCACCATACCCTCCAGGGTCCATAGCACTGAGCAGGGCAGTCAATAAAGGACCCTGCCCACCTCCAGCCTGTGGTGGGCTTGATACTAGGTTCAGGCTAATTGTGCTCAGATTCTACACAAAGTGACAAAAATGGCTTCACAATGGGAGACTAACAGATGAGACCTTAAGAAGTGGCTGGCTGACAGCCACATGCATTGATGATGGGCCCGTGCACCGATGTGTGCATTCCACAAGCCCTCTTGACCATATGCCAGCCGTGGACATGGAGGGCCAAGGCATAGGGACAGTGTAACCCTGACTACCCAAAATAAATAAGCTAAGAGTAACTCAGGTCACGGCGCCAGCTCACCACCAGTGACACCCAGCTGTCAGCAGGTGGAACCACCTGATGTCCCCAGAGATCACATGGGACTTCCTGTGAAGGACACGCAGTCTTGATGACCACCGGGCTGGCTGACAGCAGTACGTCCCAGACATCAAGGACAGGCAAGGAATGATACCCTGACACTGCTCCACTCCCCAGGGCTCTGAAGACCAATTTCAGTGGGCAAGGGCCTGTGTGGTGCCCCCACTGCTGTGAGCAGCTATGTGCCTTGCCCGCTCACCCTGGGCTCATTTGCTATGCCTGTCCATGGACCCTCTGGGCACACACGGCAGTACTTGGCCCTGCCCACCTGACACCTACACTGATGTTCTTGTCAGCTGCCCACATGGTCCCCCAAAGGCTAACCCTGGGATCAGGGCAGGACCTGGTGCCCGCTGCTCTTGTGTGGTCAGAGCAGGGACTTGGTGCCTTTCTCTCCCAGTGGATCAGAACGAAGACGTGATACACTTTGTCCAGGTGGAAATGGGAAAAGGGAAAGGGGGACTTTAGCTTCCAGGGGCTGCCTCAAGCTAGTGTGTCCCTGCAAAAGGCCTCATCTTTTCCATAGGCTCCTTAGATTCCATAACCAGGAGTGGCGACCGAGATACTGTTGTCCTGTGATGACTGTGTGTGTGTGTGTGTGTGTGTGTGTGTGTGTGTGGTTTTTGTTGTTCTTGTTATTTTTGTTTGTTTTTTCATTTTTTGTCAACTTTACCCAAGTTAGGGTCATTTGGGAAGAGGGACTCTCAACCAAGAAAATAGTTCCACCAAATCGGCCTATGGGACATTTTCTGGATTAAGGATGGATATGGGAATCCCAGTCTACTATGAACAGTGCCACCTCTGGGCAGGTGGTGCTGGGTTGTACAAGAAGCAGGTGGAGCAAGCCATGGGTAGCAAGCCAGTAAGTAGTATTCTTCCTCGGCCTTTCCTTCAGTTCCCACCTCTGTGTTCCCGCCTCCATGTTTTCCCACCTTTCCTGCCTCCAGGTTCCTGCCTCCCTTCATAATGAATGAACTAAAAGTTGTAAATTGAAATAAACCCTTTCCTCTGAGCCTTGCTTTCTCCCGAGTTCAGTACTAGGAGCCCCTCCCACAGATCACTGTGGGTGAAGGACTGCGAGCAAGCAGCCGTGCACTCTACAGTGCTCATCGATCACCCGGCTGTCCAGGACAGACCTGGACCAGGCTGGCCTGAGGACCCACTGCTCTTCCAGACCCTCAGTGAGCTCACCTGCAACCTGGACCCAGGCACAAAGTTAATATTATTGCCAGAAACTTAGTGTGTACAGAGTGGGGAACTAAACACCGAGACTGAAGATGGGGTACTTCCATGCCCGCCCACAAAGAGAAAGGGACACCTCAGCGCATGGAACTCTCCTCTCTGGTAGCCTGAGAATAGAGGATATCAGTGCTCACTCAGCGGTCACTCTGGCTGTGCTGCCCCCACCAAGGCAAATGAGGCAATCAAGAGCAGCCAGAGTCAAGACTCCACAGGCAGAAGCAAGGACACAAGTCTGTCCACGTACAGAAATCCATCTCATGGGACAGCTGAGACTGAGGACTTTGGACAGGGAACGTCTCTGCCCCTGTTGGAGAGCCTTCTGCAGTCTTCCCAAGGTCCCTGTTCACCATTAGTGTCGTCAGGGCCTGATAGTCCTAACTTCCCTGATGGTGCATCCAAATTGTTGCCTCCCACTGGCCTTTCTGAGGGCTGAGCTGGCAAGGTAAGACTGAACACAGTCCAGCATCACATCCTGTCTATCTCAGAGGGAGGAGGGCAGAGTTCCGAGATGTCTAGACAATGCAGGGCATGCACACTTGGCAGCACCTGGCTAGCCCATGTCCCTGAAGGAAGACTAGTGTAGCAGATCTGAGACACAGGTGCTGAGCCCAGCTGCCAGGCCACCGACCTGGGTCACCACCAGCCAGAAGTCTCTAACTCTTCTAGGTTTTGTTTTGTTGTTTTGTTTTTTTTGGGGGGGGGTGTTTTTTGTTTTTGATGTAACATGCTAAACCTTCTAGATCTTTGAAAAACTTGATGTGCCCAAAGTCACACCTGGATCCTCTCTCCTGGATTTAGGATGCCACCCTTTTCTGTCCCTGAACACACACACCAAGGACAGGATCACACAGGGCAGTGGGTAGAGAGGCACAGCACACACAGGGTTAACCCATCTTTCTCTCACTGCATCTCAGTGTGCCCAGCCTTGGATGTGCTGTCTCCATGACGACAGTTATCCTGGGAAGCCCTGGGAGCAATCTGAAGGCTGAGCGACAGGTGTGAGCAGGCAGATGGGTTATGCTAAGCCATTGCTCCCTAGTCCGTCACTCACAGAATGCTACCAACCCCAGCTCAAAGGGCTGCTCCCGAGAAAAGCCTTAGGCACATAGCTCACCTTGGCTCTCCCATCTCCCTGACAGCACATCCCTGAGACTACAGGTGGTGGGGACTAGTCACTGAAATGGTACCCCACCCTCTGCAATGCTGCTCTGGACCCTGCCTCTTTACACCCCAAGTCTGTGCAGCCAGAGCCTTCTTAGCATGGCAGACATACCCTATACAAGGAAAGGCTGGTTCCCTTGCCATCGTATATGGCCCAAGGCTCGGCATCAACTGAGAGAGTCCCTGAATAAGCTACAGCGTGACACTCCACCTTGGTACTGACTGTGAGGTGCCTGGGTGGCCTCTGGGACTAGCACCTATCCTCAGAATCAGAGAGGGCTTGGAGCATAACCAGACAAGTCCTCCAAATCCAGAAACTGGCAAGCCTGGTCTCCATCCTCCACATCTGGATATCCAGTGGCCCTAGAAGACATTGTCTGCTATGTGAGCTCACTGTGAATGCCTTCCTGCCTCCTTGAGCCTCCCGAGTTCCCTTCAATGACACAGTCTGACTGGCAATTGTGCTGGAATCCCATGTTCTCTCTCTCCATGGGGCACCTTACCTATTCCCAGCCTCTGCAGACCCAACCTTCCCAGGGGAACTGAAGGGCTGACTCAACTCCTGGCCAGGCCACGAGTCTACAATCATAACAGGGCCAGCAGTGTGGCCATGAAATAATTGCAAGCCTCGTGGTCCAGACATTTTCTGTCCCTCTCCATTGTATGGTGACTCCTGTACTCCAGGCTCTGGGTCCAGCCGATGGCAGACTAAGAAGCTGTGCGTGCACTGCCTCCTCCCCCTGGGTCTGATGAGTGTCCATGGCCTGGGCTCACTCACCAGGGCTTTGCCCCTAGTCCCACAAACTGGGCTCTGTTGAGCACTGACAGCACAGTTGGCTGACCGCCATTGGGATTGTACAGGGGACAGGGGGAAGGACAGAAGCCAGACAGCCACACGGTCCTTGCCAATAATGCCCAGTAGCCAAGCAGGACTATATGTCAGATGTCCCTGGAGATGACAAAGCTAGAATAGTCATGCTGGTCTGTGGAAGCCCAAATAGAAGGCATGCTTGGGTAAAAACAGGTGGGCATCAAGAGCTGAAGCAGAGGAAAAGAAAGCCTAATGGTTCCACAAGAGGGCGAACGAGCTGCCCAGACCTGGCCTCGGGGGCGGGTCAAGGCCATGCTATTGCTCTGCAAAGTGTTCTGGTGTGCCAAGTCGCCTACAGTCTCCTAAATCCCTGCAGAGGCCTCAGTGGGTGTGCGACTGAAGGGCAGCACCTGCCTGTACATCATTCAGCCCGAAGCATGGCTCGTGAGGGAAAGCACACGGAAGGAGCCCCGAGAGCTGGGAACTCCACACCTCACCTTCGTGTCTTTAAGACGGGCTTGCGATGGCCACTGCGCTAGGCAGATCTCACCTACAGTGACCAAAGGAGGGCTCCGGGGTCTGCAGCTTAATCAGTGCAGTACAGTCTACCCTGTGCGACCAAGATGCCACCTGCATGCTCGGGGGCTCTTCATTTCCTCATCGCAGTCCCTGGTGTCCCACACAGACCACACATCTGGGTCTTCTCAGACCCATTGACTAGACCATGTGTACAATGAGGCTGCCTCTCCTGCAGGAAAACCCAGAAGGACAGAGGATGTGTCTGGGCCATCAGAGCATGGCCCTGTCTTCCCAGCAGTCACTGCCATGGCTCCTGTCCCCGCGTTCCACCACCTGCCCCATCTGCACACAATGACTCCCAGGTGTGGTGACAAGAGCTCCCAAGTTCATCTGGACAGTGGAAAACTGGGGACCAAGGAGGGGTCTTGAAGAGGAACAGGGCTCTGTCCTCCAGCTGAGCAGCCTCACAGACAGGAGTTTGGTTCACTTAGCAGCTCCTAGGACTGTCCCTGGCTTCCACAGACTCCCATGGAAAACCTTAGCATAGTGAGTTGAACTGTATCACCTCAAAGCCACATCCAAATCCTAACCTTGGTACCTGTGAACATGGTTGCCTCAGGAGAAGCAGGGGATAGAAACAGCAAAAGACTATTCAAGGACAGAGGCAGAGACTGGAATGATCCAGCTCCAAGCCAAGGAACACATAGGGAGCTGGGGTCACCAGGAGTAGAAGTGTAGGAAGACTTCCATGGAGCAACTCTCCGGACACTTTGATTCTAGACTTCCAGTACCTCACCTGTGATCCTAGAAAGAGCCCCCTTCACCCAAGACCCTGCATCCTTAGAACCCTGTGCTCATCACCTCTCCCTACGACCACACACATGTGGGGTGGTACCCAGGTTGCGGAGGGCTGGATCTGGGGATCCCCTCTCCAAGCAGAGCACTGCCTCTCCAGGAACCAAGAAGACTCAGACACGAGAGGATGGGCTCTTGGTTGCCACTCACGGAGGACACCGGGTGAAATATGTTCCACTGGCTCCAGCAAAGGGACAAAACAGGAAAGGGTGAAGAAAACCTGGAGGTACTGGGACCACAAAGCAGGACCCTACTCACTCATATCCCCTACACACACACACACACACACACACACACACACACACACACACACTGAGCATGCCTTCAGCCAAGGCCAGAGTGCCAGAGTTAAGGACCTCCCCAGACACCCTCCGTTATATTTTCCCAAGTTGGGGTGGAGGGAATAGGAGACTACCCTATCTTTTCAAAGTGTGGTCTCTTCCCCCATCCACAGGAGAGGGGTGTAGGCCCAAGACCATTGCAGGTGGTCCCAGGTTCCCAGGGAGTGTGGCCTAGCTGAGTCAGAGAGCCCAGGCCTGTGGCCATGACAGTGCAACATCTGTACCCCCAAGGAGTCGGGGCCAGGAAGCTGGAGTCATGCTCGCTCCAGGAACAGAAGGAGATCACATGGGTTGGACAGCCGGCCTCAAGGCCCCTGGGCCTGTGTGTAGACAAAGGGCAGTCTGCTTAAAAGTATTGAGGCTGAGTGTTAATACTTGCAGGCCACTGCAGCAGGAGAGGTGGAGGAACTCATGCGCCCCCCCCCCTTCCCCCGGGATAGGAGGGCCTGGTAGGGAGCCAGAAGACTCGTGAGTGCTGTATCTGTCTGTTCTGGGCTGCTGAGAGGCCTCCACTTACCCCTCATGTCCCTTGCAGAGGAAGAAGAGCGTGCGCCATGCGTGCGCAGCGGCCAGCAGCAGCGACAGGAGGCTGGCAAGCAGGCAGAAGCGGCAGGCGGCTGGCGGGCCCCACTCCTGCACGGTGAAGCGCTCCCTCCCCTGCATCGTCAGGTTGGCGCTCAGCCACATACCCTCGGTAAAGAGCAGGCAACGGCCCCGAAAGTCATGGCCATTCTCCGACAGCGGCACCACCACCACGAAGCTGAACAGGAAGGCCAAAAAGTAGCAGACGCACTGCGCGAAGAGAAAATTGTTGAGCGTCATGGCGGTGCCACGGCCGGAGAGGCCGCGAGCCGGGAAGGCGACCGCGCCGGGAGCCGGGGGCTGCGAGTCACCGGCACGGCACAGGCCTGGCTGGAACCGCGTGGGAGGATGCGCAGTGACGGCGCTTGCGGGTCTCTAGCGTTGCACGCAGATGCGTGCGCATCGGCCGAGCGTGGGGCGCGCCTGCGGTCAGAACCGGGGACAGCTCTCATTGTGAAGCGGTGTAGATGGGCCGTGGGTCAGGAGACGCTGGGCAAGGCAGGAGTTTCTTGATGGGGATGTGCCTTGGGAACCTGGATGGAGCACAAGCATCTCTCAGTCAGCTTGGGAGAGAGAGGCAAGCTGTCAGTGAGGGGACCAACAGTTAGTAGCTAAGGAGGAGAAGGATGGAGACAATTTTGCAGTCCAGATTGTGGTCACTCCTTTCAAGGCCTTTGTGAAGTGAATGAAGGAGGGAGGCAAAGAGCGAAAGAGTCAGGTCAATAAGAATGAAGAGAGAAAGCAGGGATGGTCAAGGTATTCTTGGACTGGAGTGGGCCTGTGAGCTGTTAGCACTTTGAGAGCCATGCCCTCAACCCCCATACAGGGGGGCCCTCGTTCTGTGTGTGTAAGATAAATAATGGTTGCCCTGGGCACCTCATTAAGACCTCTTTGCTGAGATGGAGCTACGGGTGCATTAATTAATAGAATTAATGACTTTTCTAGTTTCCCTTAAGACCAAGTAACCATTAGTCCAATTCCCAGAATGAGCGAGCACCAGAGTCCTCCTTCTGGATATAGATTACATCAGCATTTTTTTCTTCTCTGCTGCAGGCACTAAAAACTCTTTTTGTTTTATTGCTCAAGCAATATGCACTTGTTTTTCATTTCAATAAAAAAATGTGTGTATATAAAGATACCAAGTTCCCTCCTCTTTCCTCCACCCTGTAACAGCATCACCACTTGTGACAATCTGATGTCTACTTATCCAGACATTTTGCTCATAAGCACACTCACAAAAAAAAAAAAGCTTCACACTATAGCCGTGTCCATGGATGCTTCATTCAGCAATGTGTAGTGACATTATTCCCTGTCAGCACAAGCAGATCTGTGATGTTCCATGATCAAAGCTGTTCCATGGTGTATGAGACAATCCCTCTCTTCGGGGGGCACTGGATGTCTCCAGTGTTGACTGTTTCCAGCCCTGCTGTGTGATATCCTGGTGCCTGTGTTTGTGTGGTCTTAGAAGAAGAATACCTGGGTTGTGTGGTATGAACATTTGAAGTGGTGTTGGCGGGAATCTCCATACTCATCTCTGACAATATTGTACCCCACACACCCATGCTGCAGACCCTTCTCCCCAGCAGAGCTTTCCACTTGATTGGTGTTTCCTGGGGAAGATGGCTCGTCGATATGTAACTTGTCTTCTGCTTATCACTGAAAAGCCAAATGTCTTCTTACACTCATTACCATTTGGTAAACACCTCTCCACGTAACAAATTCATTTTGCAATCTCTTGAGTACATACACGGGAGACCAGGCACAAGGTCTGAAGCAGCTACCCTTTCCTCAGAGAATTCATCCAGAGTCTCTTTCACTGCCACATCCCCCAGTTCAAACCAGAGGGAACATTTGAGAAGTTCAGCCTGCCCCATCCTGAACACGTGTGGAAATTCTATCCATTCATAAGTACTTGAAGGTTTGGACCAAAAAAAGGGGAGGACAGATACTCATGTATGAGTTCCATTTAAACTTAAAAAAAAATCAGGGACTGGAGAGACAAGTCCAAGACAATGGTCAAGAGCATTGACTTCTCTTCCAGAGGACCCAGGTTCAATTCCCAGCACTGGGAATTGGTGGAGCACAGTCATCTGTTGCTCCAGCTCCAGCAGATCAGGTAGATCAGGTGTCCTCTTCTAGCCTCTGCAAGCTCCAGGCAGACATGCAAGCTTTGCACATAGGTGTGAGCAAAATGCTCATGCACATAATAAAACTTTAATTTTAATTTAAAAAAATCAGAGATTCTCTTAGTATTTGTATCAGTCCAGATTCTCCAGAGAAACAGAGCCAACGGGATCAACAGGATGCATGTGCACAAATGTGTGCAATATAATGTTGATGTATGTTTGACAGAGACAAAGACGGATCCCAGGAGCTATCTTAGGGATTATTTCACATGACCGTGAAAACTGACAAGCTCACAATTTGCAGGGTTGTCAAACTGGAGACCAAGGTAAGGGCTGATGCTTTGGTTCAAGTTCAAGGTCTTTCTGATCCAGACTTCCCGCTTGTCACAAGTAGCCAGGTTTGTTCTATTCAGGCTTTAACTGGTAATGAAGACCACTCACAGCATGGAGGGAAAACAATTTTAGTCAACTGGTTCAAAAGCTAATTTTATTCAAAACTATTCCCATGAAAACTTCCACATAGCTGGGTATCTTGTCCAACTAAGTTAATCCATAAAATTAACCATCCTACTACTAACATAGTTTCAATCTATAGAAACTGTGGAAAACTTGACAATTAGTTTTCGAGATGTGGCCTCTTTATGTTTCCCTAATATGGCCTGGAACTCACTATGTAGACAAGGCTGGTCTTGAACTTAGCACTCTACCTGCCTCTGCTATTATTAAAGATGTGGCACCACCACACCCACCCCTTGTGATTCATTTTTAAAAGTCAATATTACGTTATCTGGAAAACTTCAGAATGCTGTGGGAAACAGAGTAACAGTAAATTGCATTTATAAATATCGGTGCCTATTTGAAAAAAACATTAAGTTGAATTCAACTCAATGTATTAATAAGGAAATATGGATAAGTAAAATTTATCCTACAAGTGCAAGAAGAGCTATGCTGTAGGAGACTAGCCAACGAGTACAGGGAAAGGCCTGCCTTCTGCTCAAGGCACATCTGAAAGCCACTGTGTGTCACTGAGTCTCCCTTTCAAATCCTCCAAAATAGAAAAATAGAAGGAAACTACCAGAATATGATAGTTTGTCTTTAAGACATCAAATGTGTACCTGTTCAGATAAAAAACAAGACAGCAATGTTCATTGTCACTGCTATTGTTGACCATTTGTTTGACGTTTCTATTTAGTGAACAGAGACAAGAAGATAAGATTCCTAGTGTTTCCAAGGAAACAAGTGAAATTATCTTTTGCTGCAAGAAAATGTGACTTTGCACCAAGAACTCTCCAACGACTCTCCTACAATAATTAGAATTTCCACGAAGACTTTGGAAGATGCTTGGATACAAGACAAACATACAAAATTCAATAGCCTTACTCTAAATGAGCGAGTGAGTCGGGTTTCCTGGGAAACAGACCAAAGGTTCACAAGCAGCAACTTAACCGTGCTACATGGCACAGACCTGGCTGGAGGGATCCTTTATGAGCTAGCTGTGACAGGCACAATCCTTTCTCTTTAGCCCTCCCCTGTCTCCAGCCTGTGGTTCTGGGTTGAAACTAGCTCAGGTCCAGAAATGTTAAGTCCAATCTCTGTGCTCAGAACCATCCTGTTCCTCATATATAAGGAGGATGGAGGGACAGTACCCACGTTAGAGATACTGTTGGGCCGACCATCTCCGTTGCTCCCTGAATGATCTCATTCTGATTGGGGTACCTGAGAATTGAGTGTTCCTCCCATGTACCTACAGGGGGCGCCATTGGTGCAGGTGTCTTCCTTGGTGCAGCCACACAGCTCTGGCAAGCAGAATTCTACATCCACCCTCTTGGGACACAGGCCTCAGCTGGACGTTCCAAAAGCCATTGCACATCCCTTGTCTGAGCCCTTGGCCCCTCCTCCCCAGTCTGCCTGAGCCATTCTGGCATTTCCACCTCCTGTAGGGTAGATGCTGTTTCCCAAGCTCCTCAGAGATAGTAACATGCATTTTCTCGTTGCCACAACAGATTGCACCACACTGAGTATCTTGGACAACATGGACCCAAGTGTTCCCTGATACTCTGGAGGAATAGGATCGAAACTTGGCTTCCTTCTGGCATTTTAGGAGAGGATTTTCCTCACCTTTCCCAATTTCTCAGTCCTTTGTTCCTCACCCTCTAGTTCCATCTTCAAAGCCAGTCATGCCTGCTCAGGTCCCTCTCAGGCTCCTCCACCTCAGTGGTCCTCTGCAGGAGAGAAGGTGGCCTTGTTGGCATCAGGTCCAGCAGGAGGTTTCCCCAGGCAAGTGCTCCCCTACTGTACCCCACCCTTCAGCGCTCTTACCTCAGTCACATCTACAGAACCCCCTACAGTTTGAACATGAAGCATACCCAAAAGGCTCCTGTATTGAAGGCTTGGCTCCAAGCTGGTGGATTCAACCACTGAGAGGCTTTTGGGGACTCTGTCCTCTCAGGGCCTTTGTGGTCAGACCAGTCATGAGTGCATGACTCTTCCGGGACTAATTCTGCTGACACCTCTCATGGAAAGTGGAGGCTCCAAGTTCTCTACCCTCCCCCAGGACAAGTAAGTGATTAACAGTTGTTGGGGAGGGAGATGCTTCCTCAAAGTAACCCCAATTAAACTCACTGTTTCATCAAGCTAGACTTGGGCGGACCATTTCTTTGGTCTGCTGCCCTCTGGCGTAAATAGAAATAGACTCCCCAGAAAAGGTCACAAAACACTTGGCACCCAATAGGGACTGACAGAACCAAATATGAATTTGGAAGGAGCAGTCACACTGCCTGATGTGAGTGATAAGACATGCACCTGAAGGGTTAATCATACTTGGGAATGGATGCCATCATCCTTCCCTATATGACATGGAACGACAGGCTTCCTGCTGTCATAGTAGTGGCATTGTCCCTACTATAGGTGATAAGACATGCTACTGAGGCTACTCCATCTGCAGGCAGAATGTCCAGGAAGAGAAACTCTGGGGTGGCCGTTTTCTGTGTGTCCCAGAGTGGCATACTACCTTGATGGCCATGTGAGTGTGGGACTGTTCTTTAAACTCCCAATTGACAAGAAAATGCACTGCAAGATCTGAGAGCGGCATTATGGGACAGGGTGGTAAGTGAGCAGGCTCTGAGGACAGCTGTGTGGTCTCGGCAGACGGTAAGACATGCAGCTGAGGTTCGGTCACCTGCCCAGAAAGAACTTACCTACCTAAGGGAAGAAGGCGTGTGGATGGCATCC